ACCAAACAAGAAAGCAACAAAAACAATACGCATCCATGAATGTGATGTGCTGCGCAGCCATGTGAATAACAAAATGAAAATGGCTGATGCCTCTTCAGTAAAAGACGGTGCCAAATACTGAGGGTGTCTGAAGTCAAACAGGGTCCTACATTGTCCTTTGAAATGAATGTAGCCACCGCTGATAAAAAATACCCCAAGTGGAGCTAGTTTGGGAAACAGGGAAGAAACAGAGGGGTCGGGGCAGTGGGAAGGACAACACGGAGCACAGCCAGGTAGGAGTGACAGGACAGAAACCTGAGGACTAGAATCGGTTTCACTCCCCTCCCTCACACTCAGCGCTAATGCAGGCCTGACTGGAGCCAAGCCCGGCCGGCAATCGGGCGAGGGCGGGGTACACCCTGGACAGGTCGCCAATCCATCGTAGGGCTAACACATAGCCGAACAACCACACACACACACTCCTATGGGCAATTTAGAGACACCAATCACCCTAAGCAGCGTGTCTTTGGACTGTGGGAGGAAGCCGGAGTACCCGGAGAGAACCCACGCAAGCACGGGGAGAACATGCAAACTCCACACAGAAAGGTCCCGGGTGGGGCCCGAACCCAGAACCTTCTCGCTGTGAGGCAACGGTGCTATTTACTTTAATTAAAAGTAAAAAAAATCTTTGTGTGTAACATCTTTCTGTGTAAGTATCTCATGTTACAACGTGGACACCTGCGGCTTATAGACAAGTACGGCCTCTATATGTACAAACGTTTTTTTCTTTTTAAATTTTTATATTCAGGTGTGCTCAATAGTCCGGAAATTACAGTACTCTGCTCGCCCTCTAACTAGTTCTCAGACACTTGACAATGTTAGTTTTGACTCAATTAGCGAATATACTGCATTTTTAAAATCTAAATTGTATTTTTTCTCAAATTAGGTGAGTTAAGCTGGGAGTCGGCGTTGTAGGACAGTCTAAAGCATAAACAGAGAACAGTGCGTTGTGTCCTCTGTTCCCTCCAGCTCCAGATGAAACGCAGCCTCTTTTTAAGAGCCTTTCTCCCCAAACCACACATGCCACCCACTAATAAAGCCCACAGCATGCTGTTATAATGCAGTGGCAAGACAGAGCCGTGAGCCACCCAGCAACACACAAGACACCCAACAACCTGCTCGGCAATATGACTGCAATTCTTCACTTTATTATTACAGGGAACCTCAAAAGCAAGGCCCTGGGCTGGTCTGCTCCCCACCTGTCGGGAGTGACGTTTGGACAAGTGTTCGGGTTTGAGGAGCATTTCCTCCCTCTCCCCCAGCTATATCTGAGCTCCCCCCAGGCCGGTGCTGGCGGCGGTTTGTCCTCAATGAGGAGCAGCTGAACCAACAGGAAAGCCAACCCAACAACTTAAAATTGTGAGAGGCCCTCAGCAGGGGGAAGGAAAATGTTTACAAATGATGTGCAATAATTGCTTATTACTCCCCCACCCTTATCTGTCTGTCCTGGTCTTTTACTGCTGTGCTTTTGTTTTCTTTCACGTTGTTAAAGCTAAATATGGAAAGGTTTGCTCAAAATGTATGTTGACGACGGGCCAGCAGGATCAACAGTCCACCACACGCAGCTAATCGCGGCGTATTTACAATGCGTCCTGTCTGAACACCCAGATGGACCCAAATCACTTCCATACAGCTACTCTGTAAAACTGGCTCTGACTGAGACCACATGAATCCACCAGCTCCGACCACATTAAAACACTCTTGATTGTCAGGTGCTGTGCCTCCTTAGCCCCATCTGTGCCCAGCTCTGGGGGTCTGTTCTTCGCTGAGCCAACATCCAAAGGCCCCTGTCTGTAGACTACAGTCAAACCAAGCTGCATTGAAGACCCACACTAAAAAAAGAGGGCCTTAAGCCTTTCACTGAAAGCCACACACTGGGTCAGTGTGAAACCCTGGGGCCTTTGGCGCATCTTTAAGATAAGTCTGTTTTATTCTCAAGCTGCATCTGTGCCCATTCAACTGACAGTCGTCCTACAGGGGAAAAGAGCCACGAAATTTAACAGCTATTTCATCAGAAACAACAACGCTGGTCCCCGTGTTTGTACAATCAGCTGCACTACTACAAAATCCTGATCATCTGCAAGAAATTGGAAAGAGAGAGACAAAACAAACTAGAGAGAGAGAGCACCAGAGAGTGGAGGAAGCTGACTTAGTAAGGGTGGGAGTGAAATCTGCTTTGGACTTGGTCGGGGGGAAGAAGCGTACAGTCAGAAAGACCAGGAGTGACTCAGAGAGGAAGAGGTGGGAATGTGAATGGAGAATTCTAGGGAATCCCACTGAGATAGCACTCTTCGCTAGCCTGCGCCGCACCAAAGAATTTAGATGAGCAAACCATATGCTTAGCAAGTCACACTGAACGCCGGGCTAAGACAAAAACAGCAATAAACATCAAGAATCTGAAACAGACCAGAAAAAAAGATCACACAAACAGCAGTTTATGATTCTTCTGTAAGTGTTCCTGGGCAGACAGTGTATTCAAAGGGCAAAGTCAGAGCATCCTTCACTGTGATGTGGTCAGCAGTGGCTCACAGTCTGTGATGGGCCGGAGGGACGTGCTCTGGTCTCTGCAAAGTCTCAGTCACATCAGGGGGAACTCTGTATGTCATCACATTTATGGTTGCATGGAAAATGGTGCAAATTGTGCCATGAGCTATGTCTAAGTATGATCAGACAAAGCACAGAGCCGTGCTTTAACCGTGTAATTTATGACTCAGTGGATGGTGCGTGCTATGCCATTAACAGTGTTTGTGTATCACATAATTTAACAGTGATCAGCTGTAGAGTATAATAGAAAACTACGCCATGCAGTCAAGGGGCAATTCCCACCACAACTGTTAGTTTTAGCAGCTTGCTTGCTGTATTTTTCCATTTTAAGAGTGGGCAAACATCTTCAACATCTGGCTCAAATGGACAGAGGGGTTGTCAGCTAGGACAGGCATCTATAACACAAAGAGCAACAGGCCTGTCTGAACCCAGCAACTCATCGTTCACCACCTGCCTGGAAACCAGTTCATCTGCACCTATGTGTCAGCATTCAACTCGCTACAGATGACAACATGCAGCTACGATGTTGCAATGATGCTCTCTGGGCTCCCTGTGCGGCAATCTAATCAGCCCAGTATACACAGCTGTGCAGTGCTAAACAAAGACACACAATCACAGTGTGTACTGAAGCCTCTCTGCTAAAACAGAGCACTTGGGCTTTACCAGCAGACGGCCGCCTTCCTATAGAGGCTGCTCTCAGCTCTGTTCTCCAAGAAACAGGAAAGGGAAGGCAGTGAGATCAGCTGTGGGACAGGCACAACATTACATAACTCAGAAAGAAATTTTCGCTGGGGAGTTATCGCTGGTGGTACTAAAAAACAAATCCACCGAAGGACAGAGTAAAACATTAAGTTGTTTGATGAGGAAAAAACTAATTTCATAGCTATGATATTTAGTCTGGAGTGTTATCAGCATCAAGAGGAAAGGTGGTCCAGCTCCCGCCATCTTTCACAGACTCGCATTCTTAGCATTCCACCTGGAGACCAGTGCAGACAAACTGACTCACACAATAATAAAGTTCAGAGTTAAAGTCATGTATGAAAAGATTTTGTGTGGACATCAGTGACCAAGTAAGGCCGGTAGGTTGGAAATGTCTTGCAGCACCAGAAAACCAATGATGTAATGTTGTGCTACTGTGAATGACATAGACGAATCTTTGTGGCTACACAAAAAGGTCATTTCATGACAAACAATTGACAGCAATTAAGATATTTAATTACAAAATGAAATTTATCAGTGGAGTAATGAACAAGTGCTTTAAACTTATGACATATAAAGTAGGTCCTGTCTGATTAATGCTTGGTGCCCAGTGTTTGCACAGATCCTTTCTGATTATGTTGTGAACCTGGCTGATATATGATACTTGTGTAACACATTTCAAAAAGCTTGCTGTCCTTGGCCACCTTGATTAAATCCACCTCATTACTCCTTGTTCTCTCCACATATTCCTATCAGAACCAGCACCAGCTTAAATATTTAATTTGGCCCTGACAAAATCGCTGGCTGTGGAATCTGATTCAGGCCCGATGCTGGATGCAGATCAGACAGAGCAGCTGCCAGCTCCTTCTCCCAGTCAAAACACTGTGCTCTCATGTGAACCTTTCTACTGTTTGTGTTGAAAAGGCTCAAAGCAAACAGCTGAGGGAGTCAGGGAAGGAGATGACCAAACAGACCAGCAGCACTGCATGTTACTCCACAACAAATGACTCAGTCTGAAAACATCCAAGATTATAATGCAAAAGTATGATGTGCACTTTGGATTAAGCTGCAGGAACACAACTGAATGACGACCTGTGACACACAGAGGAGGCAGCTGTCTGTCGGGGCAGCTATGGGGCACTGCTCGGTGGCTGTTGCAGACTTGTGACCCCTGATCTGAGCTTGTTGTGGCATAAATGCTTGTTTATAGCTAGCTGGCTAAGCTAACGTCAGCTAGCCAACTTTGTCTGTCAGAAGAGCAATCTGATAACTGGGCTGTACTTTAAATGTTTAAATCTATAGGAAATATCAAATGTAACTGCGTGCTAAATGTTTTCCCACATTTTGTTTCATTAGTCAGTCACCACCACCACCACAGAGCAACACAATATATAGCTAGCCGCGTTACTTCGGGACCCGTGTTATAGCTGGTGGTGGCTACTGGCGACAATCTCAAGTCTATTTCCAAGAACAATAATATCCAAATGCACCACTACAATAACTCCACATGTTTTTTCCTAACAGTGACTAAAGGTGTGAAACTATAATATTTGAAATGTATATTAGCAGTTAACAAAATCGTGGAAATCACACGATAGAGAACCGGCGCTAAGCCAACTCCAGAGCCCATGGGAACTGCTCCAATCCAGCAAATACACGGAGCCTTCCTAGCTAGTGTGTGGGGGAATAGTTGGGGATTTAAAAGCGCCGCAAGCTACCTGTTAGTCGCAGTTTGACGGGGCCATTCCGCCGAACTCCTTGGTTAGACATCTCCTCTTGGTTCCAGCCCCCAATGCACGTTGTAAAATTGTGTCTTTAAATGCAAAAAAATAAGGTTTATGAACCTCTTCGCCAGTTTTAGACGGTAATGGAGTCAAGGCATCGTAGCCCGGATGTGGAGTGAACTGCCATAGCGATCGCTCACAAATGCGAAAAAAGGCAAGAATAAAAACCGAAAATTGTTGGTGTATTACTGCTGCAAAGTGCATTTACTAAGAATGACCGCTCCCCGGGGAAACGTATGCCCGAGCTGCAGTGAAGTGGCGGCGTTTGTCTTCACACCTTCCTAAGGAAGGAGCCGAGTCCTCCTCTCCGCTCGTCCGGAGCTGAACTGTGGAGCCCTCCGGTGCGGATCCGCTTCAGGAGGCGGTGGTTGGAACTGACCGCTGACGACAACACACTCTGGGGGTGTGAAGCATTTCTCCGACATGTGGCACCCGGCAATAATCCACACACGGCTCCCAGACTTGGTGATGAGCAGTCCAGATCAGGTTTTTACTTGGATGGCACGAGTAAAACCCGCTCCATGTGTTTATGGGAGTTTATGACTTTTTGCAGGGGCGTAGCTAGACTCTGTAGAGCTCTAGGCCCCACTTCCAACACAGTTACTTTAAGAGGTTAAAAAGACAAGGCTGGTGATTTTGTATCAGTTATTTTCCATCTCATACAAAAATTAAAACCATGAGATTTATTGGCTGGCAATGTACATAACCAGGTTTTTTTCCCCATAATGTCAAATCATTCACTTCCGTCAGACAACACCGTCATGGATACAAATCATGGATTTTGAGGGTACACTTAACTGATGAAAACGGTACCCAGTAGTTCACATTTGCAATTTGGTGGACTACAGAACCGCTAGAATTAGTTTTGGACCTGAACAGGTTAAGTATCAGCTCCACTTAAAGCTTCACCACCCAGAACCAGAGGTCCACAGATCAGGTCACATTCAAAGTGCCAGTAGTTTTCTGCATATAAAATCAAGTGAACTGAAGTTAACTAGGTACATATACATATACATATATACACACACACACACACACTTGTTGTAAAGGGAGAGAAAGTATTTTGAGACAGGTTAGCATCTATGAACAGACTATTATAACCTACTTCCAATTACCGTGAATGCTATGTATACAGGTTTTTTCTGTGAACATGAACCACTTCAAAGTACAATACACCTGATCCTCACACAATCTGGCAACTTTATTTTTAGTCATTTTAAAACAGTATGTACAGTACATACAGAAGAACATCAATCACATGAACAAGAGACAAACAGTAGCAATGCGGGTACAGTACAGCTGAGGGTAGAGGTAGTAGAACGTCTAGAAATTGAAAGTGCTCTGGTTTTCACTTGTGCTGAATGCATAACCATCAGTCGTTACTGCTGGGGCCACACTCTGCACCACTTCTTCCTGTAAGAATCAAACATACAAAAACAATAAGACCAATCATAAGCAGTTAAAGTCAGTTTAGACATCTGAGGACACCCACCTCTCCAGAGAAGTATTTTTCAATGAGGTTGAGAGCTGCTTTGTAGACCATCTCATTCTCATGAGCCTGCAGAGCCTCGATCCTGTCCAGTCCACCACATTCTTCAATCATCAGACTCAGCTTGTCTGCCTCCCCGATTTTCTCCCCAGCCTGATTGGAAACCACATCAGAAGAAGCATTCACAACCATCTGGCCAGCTCCCATCAGAAGTAAGTGGACTTATCAGATCTGACGAAAACCATACTCACCATGAAGATATTGGTGATGGCATCCAAGATGACAAGGACAATTTTGCTATCCTTAGATGAGAGCAGGTTCAGAAGAGGCTCAAGTACATTGGCTTGAACAAGGTAAACCACGTGCTGAACAGTGCCCCCGCTGGTGAAGTTAGTCACAGCCCACACAGCCTCTTTCTGGGTCTTGTAGTCACCCTGCAGACAAACCGAAGGGGTTAAAAGCTGGAGATGTAGTCGCCTGTTTGACAGCAGTGCTCTGAGGAAAAATGAAACAAATTCTGTTGATAAAAACACACCCGTGTGAGAACTTCAACCAAATATGGAATGAGGCCTGCATTGATGACCTCCTGGATTTGGGAGTCCCTCCCGGCCGTGATGTTGGACAGAGTCCAAGCTGCCTCCTTCTGAACACTGGCTTTTTTGTGGCGCAGCAGTCGGGGGAACTCAACCAGGGCCCCGGCATCCAGCACCACCTGGGTCTGCTCATCAGTTCCAGTCACAATATTGCCAAGGGCACGCAGTGCGGGGGTCTGAAGGAAGCGTGAAAGTGTAAAACCTGAGGAGTTGCCTCAAGGTGATGATACACTATCAAACTACATAAAATTGTGCAGAGGCTGCACAAACTGACATGTTTCTGATGGAAGCGCAACAGACAAAAAAGGAACAACTAATACGTACAATGATGGTCAGTTCAGGAAAGCTGAGCAACTTCACCAGGCGAGGAACTAGCCCCGCCTGGACCACCACCTCAATGCGGTCATTAGCGCCATCTGTCAGGTATGAAACAGCCCAACATGTATCAGCCAGCACCTCCGGGTCGTCATGGTGTAGCAGACGAATGAGAGTGGGTAACATCTGTTGGACCGCAGTCATAGGAGGGGAGGGGCTCTTGTTGCGGCAGAGGTTTGACAGCGTCCACGTCACATTCCTCAAATAGCTGGTCTGCAAAGAAACGAGGCGACTTCAAATTGGTACATCAAATACTGCCAGTATGTTTTTCCTCTAAACGGCCATGCACTGCTCCTACTATAAGAATGGGAATCAATTCCAATCTCTCTTTCAAATCTCTTATTTAAAAAAAAAACCCACTCCCATCAGGATGAATGCAACAAATTTGAGGTTTGTTAGGGATTCAATGAACATTAGAATGGCCACGCTATATTTAAATGCAGTGGTCATTTCATATATTGGCTAACCAGTTGGACACAAGCTAATAAAAGTCCACTGAAATCACTTGAGACTCTAAAGAAATGGACTTTAAAAGTCCTGCACCAGAAACTGAAGAGCTTTCATGTCCATTTTAAACTAAATAAGGTATTTTAATCTTTGTGGCTTTTAAAATTCTACACAGTACTCCAACACTCTGGATTGTTGTTTATTTTCTTTTTTAATAATAATAATAATAATAATAATATTGACAACTACTGAATAATACTGATAACTATTTAACGCCTCCTTGTTTGCTTTAAGGGTGCATTTTAATATCTGGCCAAGGACAACAGATGAAAATTAGCCTCGTGGGCCAACTTTGGCTCATTTACAGTTTCCTGAGCACTGTCCCTGTCAGATATATTAAATAAATGAAAGAGGAGAGAAGGGTCTCAGTTTGACACCAAGCTGCACTGAGTTGGGTGAGAGCTTCCCCTAGTGGCTCATACCAACGATAGAAGATACAGTAGGTGCGTGCACAAGGTGAGCAATTTGAATGACCATTTCAAGAAACTCTCATGACTTGATAGATTTAAAAAAACACTTGGTTTTATGCACAACACTCACACTGAGCACAGAGTAGTCAGGCAGTGCCAGCAGGCTGAGCAGAGGGGCTATGGCTCCGTGCTTGATGACCCGGTCTCTAAGAGCTGATCCGTCACCTACACAGAAAAAACAGAATATGACCTTTACCACCTACCAAATACTCAATCATATCTAAAGACAAAATATATCAGGTCAATTACCAGCAATGTTTCCTAGGGCCCAGACAGCTTGCTCGCTGATGTGCTGGTGTGGGGATGTGACCAGGCTAATGAAGGCAGGGATGGCCCCACCCTCCACAACAGCCGCCGTCTGATCAGTTGTCCCTGAGGCAATGTTGGTCAGAGCCCAGGAAGCTTCAAACTGGATCGGAGGGGAGTCTGTCCGGGCCAGGAACGCCACAAACTTGGGGATGAGCCCAGCCCTGATCATCTGATCAATGGGAGGGTGAGTGTCGCGAGACAGCAGCTTCCTACATTCAGACAGTACAGTGAGTCACCGTGGCAGCAGCTAGAGGTTTCTGACCTGTGCTTTAACAAACGGTTACCGTGCAGCCTGTGCAGCCTGAAGCTGGGACTCTGCGTTGCTGCTGTTCACTCCTGTGAGGATCTCTTCAACTGTCCACTGCTTTAAAGCCTGCACATGGTTACACACCATGAATGGTGAATTAAGGCACGAACAGGAGACAAGCATGACATGCAGAGCAACATCCCTGCTAGCTTTAAATGCGTTTATAGAGCCGAGGAGCTGAGGAACTTTTAAACCAACCTCTGTTTTTGCTACGGTTCCTCTTATGTTCTACTGTATCAGGGTGGGCACCAGAGATTAGATTCAGTACCACATTGGATGAATAAATCCATTTATCCCAGACTTAAACATGTACAGCATTATTACTGAATTATAGTGGTGCTTTTTTAAACAAAGGTTAACACCAGTGGAAATAAACAGCCTTTAATGCCACAGTGGATTTAAAGGCCTACCTGGCAGTTGTGCGTCCTTTCCTGCAGAGGAGACGTCGCCTCTTCAGGATGCGCAGACACATTTCTTCTTTTGAACATCTGGTCATCTTTCTTCGCCTTGCGGAGCTCGACGTTCACCTCCACTCTCCTGCGTCGAAGCTCCTGCGTTGATTTCCACAAACAGAGTTTAAAAATCGCCAGCTCACACTGGCGGGTGATGCATCTCGGACATGTTGGAACAGAACTTACACTGGCATCTTTGCCTTTGTTCTTGAACTTGTTCAGACGAGCGACGTTCTCAGACATTTTCAAGTGTCAGAAGCTCAGCAGCACTGAAAACTAACTTGTCGGGAGTTTCTCCTGCAGATAAAGTTTAAAGAGTTACGTTAGCATTCACATAGGTGCCTCATGATCCACAAGACAAATGACACTCGTGTCGCCTGCTTACATTAAAACAGACCTACTACAACTACAAGCCAACTCGAGTTAGCAAAAATGGAAAACGCCGCAGAAAAACTAACATTCCTTTTAAATCAGACATTTAGTCCCTCCGAGCTGTACTCACCTAGACTCCAGAAGATGTTCAGTTACATCCGAAGTCCCGCACAGACCTTTAAATTTCTACAACAAAGCCTTCTGATTGGCCTTTTCGAGCTAAAGCATCCAGCCGCCTCCGTTCATTGGCCGGTTTTAAAAAAATCACGGAGCGCACAGGAACTGTCGTCACTCTAAAAACCTATCGCGAGATTTCGGTGCATTGTCTTTTTTTAAACTTTATTCAACAAGAAGAATGCAGTACAGTCATCCAAAGATACAAAGATATAAGAGTGTATTCAACATACATCCGAGGTTTTCTATGTGTGAATTTACATTTGTGAATATGAAACTTAGCCAATAAAATTAACAAGTTACAGACATATACATATGAAATCAGTTTGTGGATGATCTGAAGTGGGAAAAGGTCTGCCTTTTACCTAATCTTTACTGAGTAACTAATAAGGTAAAAGAGGTTTCTTTTCAGCTTATTCACAGAGTTTATCCAGTGAAAGTTTATTGTAAGAGGTTTAGAGTAGATATTGACCCTATGTGCACTTTCTGTGGTAATTCCCCTGAGACTGCTGTTCATTTATTTTGGTATTGTCGTTTTATAAAAACATTTTGGTTTGACTTTTGTGATTTTATACATATAAATATTGATAAGGATTTTATTTTGTACTGGAAGAATGTTCTGTTTGGTTGCTTAGAAACACGATTCTCATCTCATGTATATGTCTGTAACTTGTTAATTTCATTGGCTAAGTTTCATATTCACAAATGTAAATTCACAAATAGAAAACCTCTTCTCTTGGTCTTTTTAAAAGAGTTCAAACAATACATTTCTTCAATATTTTTTCTGATAATACAAAGGCCATCAAAACAATTAATTTATGCACCTTATTTAAAATTCCTGGTTGGTGAAAAGAAGAGAGTTTCACTGGGATCTTATCAATATTATAACTGCATACAAGAAAGAAATTTAAGCCACCAAACTTAGACAAAATATGATTAGGAATTATATTCCAAACAGATGTTGAGTTTTGAGATAACTGTCTTATCCAGTTGACCTTAAAAGTATTATTTAGAGTAGAGAAGTCTAAAAAGTTTAATCCACCACTTTCATATGTGTTCATAATAACAGCTTTTTTTAATATGATGTATTTTATTTTTCCACAAAAATTTACCAAGCATCTGATCTGATGATTTCTTTACAAGTTTTTTTTGTCAAGATCTAGAGCTAACGCAGCATAAGTTAAACCAGAGATTCCTTCTGCCTTTGTGATTAAAGTTCTACCTCTCAGGGAGAGATCTCTTAATAGCCATTGATTAAATTTCTTTTTAGTTTTTTCAATTATGGGGGAGAAGTTTAAATAGCATCTTGAATGTTGGTTTTTGGTGATTAGAATGCCCAAATAGGAGATTTCATCTTTAACCAGAATACTATAAAGAATGGAAGTATTACATTCTTTTATTGCCATCAGTTCACATTTTTTAATATTAAGATAAAGACCGGACGCCCTTGAGAATTCTGCAACTGCTTCAATAGCAATAGGTATTTGACTTTCTTCCTTTAGGAAGAGAGTCGTATCATCTGCTAGCTGAGTGATAACTAATTCTCTATTCGTGATGGAGATGCCTTCGCTTTGTATAAATCTAAAAATAAAATAAAACCATCATCTATAAGATCAGGATAGTACAAAATATCTAAAACAAGTCTAATATTATTTGTAATATGTCTGTTTTTCATAAAACCTGATTGTGACTCTTCAATAATTGAATTCAATACAGATTTTAGTCTTTTAGCGATAAGTAACGCCAGTATTTTATAGTCATTGTTTAATAGACATATTGGACGCCAGTTATCAATAAATAAAATATCCTTTTTTGGTTTTGGAATTAGGGTAGTTAATCCTTGGGTTAGTGTGGGAGGCATACATTCATTGGCAATACTTTCCTGAAAAGCCTTAAAAAGAAATGGAGATAATTCTGAGAAGGCTTTGTAAAGCTCTGCTCATAACCCATCCGTACCAGGAGACTTGTTATTCTTCAATAGATTGATCGCCTCTGCAACTTTATTGACTGTAACTGGCTTATCACAGAAAATCTTATTGTTTTTACAGTCAGAGCTCAAGAAGCACTCAGCTGAAAATTGGCTGAATTGGGAGTTATATAGCTTTTCATAAAACGTACAACAATAGTTAGCAATGTCTTTGTAGTCTGTTATAATAGTGCCATTAACATTTCATTTCTGTGCATTGTCGGTTTTCTGTTTATACGCAGCAATAGTAAATGTTTCTTTTAAAATTAAATTTTAATAACGGGCTGATTGACATGATAAATAATGATTTTCTATTTAAATTCTGGGTTAACTATTTCTCCATACATCTCACCTAAGATAATTTAGTAGCTTTAGCAAATACATTCATTTCTAGAATACACTATTATAATTGCAGGATACTTTTAATTACACTAATGCCAGGGAAATAACATTCACAAATCAACAGTTAGAATTGCAACAAAGTTTTTTTAAATGATTAAAAATGATAATTTATTACAATCATTTTCACGATTAAAAGTTCTGCCATAAGATAATGAAACATTATGTAAAGGCCAAGATGAGGTTTTCAAATGTAATGTTTTGTCAGATATTCAGTTTGCTGCTGTAAAAGATACACAAAACGGGTAAAAATTCATGTAAGAGATCCGTAATCAGTTAAATGTTGATCGATTCATTCCTCACCTTATAGATTCAGCTCTAATCACAAGATTTCAGTCAAAATGTCTTGTAAACAAAACTTCCACAGAACTAAAAATGATCGTATAACATATTTGATGATCTATTCGTTGGTATGAACTCCCTGCTTCTGCACAGCTACACCTGCTTTTATCACGGCCACAAATACCCAACTCAGGTTTTCCCATTTTATTAAGTTCCATATACATCAATATTTCTTCAGCTGTAATACAAAAAAAGAAATCAAGTCAAAATCGGACAAATTTTTACAAACAGGGCAGGAACCTTCAGATACGGTTTCATCCTTTTCAGTCACTACTGCAGAGCAATTCATTTACAATAGCTTATACCGTACTTTCAGTAGGTTATACGAGTTGAACCAAGCAGACTACTGAGGTCCAGATATTTAGTACGACTGCCTTTCATGCCACTTCAGACTAAACAATGAGTGGAAACAGGAGGGAAAAGTTATCGCTGCGCTATTTGAATATCGACACAAAACTCTTGATACATGACGCTCAGGAAAACTCAGCCACTGTCTCAGTATTCAGCGTCCTACGTGATGACCACAAGGATGGCCTGAGATTGTTTTAACAAGGAAAAATAAACAGATTAAAAAAAATATATAAGTACATGGAAATACGAGAGCTCTGTAAGAGTCTTTTCTCCGAGGTAAACGTTCTTCTGAAATGCCTCAGTTGTTCAGGCTCCTCTGTACAGGCCCCCTGATGGAGACGGGTCCAAAAGATCCCTTCGAGCTGAACCGGGCACAGGGCAGCTCTGCCTGAACCACTCTGTGAAAGCAGCAGCGCTGGTTGCACCGACCGTCAGAGCAGATCCCAAACGTGAGGGTGAGGCAGAGTCCTTCACGGAATTACAGTTCAGAAAAGCCACGATCTTGGCAAGTGCATTTAGTCTGAGCAATGTGCGATGCTTTCTAAGGGGCTGAAGAAGACTGTAGCTTGTTGTTATGAGACCTACAGAATACGGAGAGAGGGGAGAGTTGAGAGCGCTTCACATTTGAGCCATTGTTGCGACATCGGAAGAAACAGACACAGGATGCAAAGGGGCAGCAGAGGATCCTGCAGCTATGTTGGTTTAATTCACTGGTAACGCCTTTGTCACAGAGCAAACACACTACTACAGACTGAGGTGACTATGTGAGGTGAGGAACCCCTCACTCTGTACAGTACATTGTAGTCTTATATAACAATACTATCTAAAATAACTGGTTTCATAATTATTTAAAACATTCAGACACAGTCAGACATATCTTACAACCGCTGTACATGATAAAACATATGTACATTGAAGACAACCACCTTAACCAAACTGCAGAGGGCATAAGATACAAAACCTCTCATTAATCTCTCTCTCTCTAATAAAATATGCAGTTTATATATTTGCATTTCTGGTGAGGTCAACGCCCTCAACACGTCCAATCCAACCCAGATGTGGAACAGAAAATAAATACAAGTTAAGAAATCAAATGCTTTTAAAATCCCTCTGGAAACAACCCAGCTACTGTGAAGGATTGTTCCCAGGACCCTGGTTTGTGATGAGAAGAGTGTCCCTCGGTTATATGGTTAACACACATCAACATGGCTGCCATTGTGGGATTATTACCAAATACTGTGATCACAGCCAGTCACTGAAAACTGGTGGTATTTATGTGAAGGCACCTCTGGTGTTTGTGTGGGTGTTTGTGTGGGTGTGTGGCGCTTTTTTCTTGATTAATGCATATTTTGATGCTCTGGAAACAGAAGTGTTTCCATGTCATTTTTACTAGAGAGCCCAGCATCCAGTCCAGACTCCAGCTAGACTGGCCCACTTAAGAATCTGACAATCTGAAAGAAAGAAGAGAATGGGATGGCTTAAATCAAAGGCATGCAGCAAAGGTGAACAGACAAGAGCACACGATACAGATGCAACATATCATCTAAAGCCGTTAAGACACTGGAAATGTCTTAACATCAGCCTGCTCTGTTGGTTTTAGTGCAGCCAAGCAGCCTTTAAAGACACGTGACTGTTGAAAGCCCAGACTAGTCTACAGCTAAAGCACATTCTACTGCCAGGCACCATCTCTACACACATGCTACTGCTACACAGGCAAGTAAAAAGTCAATGGCAGGCGGAAATGCAAAAATTACAACAACAACAAAAACACATTAAAATGACATGATAACCAAAATGTTTACAGCAACAAACAGAAGCATGGAGGTGGAAGGGATCATGGGAACCTGGAGTGTGTGCCGCCACTGGAGCACCCGACCTCACCTGCTCGCTTTGAACCCTTTGAGTTTCTGTACAAAGAAGGCTTCCAGCACCTCGGCACACTGAAAGAAGGGCGTGTCGTTTGGGTTGTAGTAGCGGCAGTTGTCGAAGATTTTGGTCACGTCGGCTACAAACTCTGTGAGCTTGTGGTAATGTCGCTTTTGCAAACGGGTTTCCATTGTGGAAAAGTCTGAGAGGGAGAGAGAAATTTAAGAAGTACATGAAGAAAATATAAAGTATTTTTTAACCAGGAAATTTATAACTTCCTCAGTGTGAGGCAGGCAGGAAACGAACTGCCGCCATCATTTGTTCTTACCCATCGGCTCCTTGATCACACGATAATAATCGGGTGCATCGTGCGGATCCACTGGTTCCAGGAAAGGCCACGCCATTTTGTGAGACTGTAGAAAGAACAAGATTACAATCAAATAATAAAAACACAGAATTATACTGAAAAAAATATTCAGTATCATCACAGAGGGTCAGTTCAAAATAAAATATTAGACAAGATTCTGATATTTCCAATGAATAAAGCTTGTTCTCTACTATTATTTCTACTATTGTACTTTGTCATTTTTATACATTAATTGCTTCTTCAAACCTTCTTGGAAGATGCTTGTTATTTTGCTCTCAGCTACGTTTCCTCTCCAGTTATGAGAATTTCTCTTCCAGGAATAATAACGTCTAACATGATTTTCCCACCAAACACATCTGCTCCCCCTCTCTCAGTAAAAAAAAAAAAATCTCAGAATCTACAAATAAGCAAAACAGGTTATTTCTGAAGACTAGACACACGAGACCTCCTCCTAAACCGTGCACGCGTGCATGCACTGGGGCTTTGTGTTTTTATTGATTGATCACAGTAAAGTCTCAACCAGAGAAACACGCTACTGACAGATGTGGAAAATCACCATGAATCTGCAAAAACAGCCAAACTGAAGTTGTAGCGTGAGCCAGGCACTGATCAATAGTCAGATTGATCAATAGGATTATTCAGGCATCCATTTTAACCGCACTAAAATTAGCCAGGGACGACAAACCCAGGGCTCAAACTGGGCTGAATGTGCACAGCGCCTGTCTGCCCGGCTTCACCTGGACAGTGCCGCTGGCTCCCACACTCAAATTTAAAGTGGGCGCATGTGAAGACAGTCCACGGTGCACGTTGCACTCATTCTGCACAGTGAAGCTCAAACATCCACATTACAACAAGCAGAATGCTGTAGAGAGGGGGTGATGGTCTGAGAATGGTGCCGCACCTGTAACGAGCGCAATATTCTTTTCAACCCTTCGTAGTCTTTGTCGGTGAGTGGTGTGAGGACTGTCATGGCGTCTTCTGTCGACTGGCACTGCGGGCACACGTACACATCAATGTGATTGGCCTCGCTCTGCAGGATGCCCACACAGCGCCCGTGGTACCAGTTCTGGCAGCGGTCGCAGCCGATGTAGAACCTGCAGGTGAAAATGCAATGTTTCCTGGTTAGCACACCAGAGAGAGGACGAACATGAAAAAAGAAACGCACACACAAAACACCGCTGTGCTACCAGCTGATGACAGGTATGTTTGGTATGAGGAGCCGTACTGTGATTCGTCATAGGGTGTCCGACAGATGCAGTACAGCTCCTCGCTGCTGCTTCCTTCCTGTCCACGTTTACAGTCGTTACACACAAAGTCTTCCAGCTTCTTGGCTTCCTTCTCTGTGATGCCAACACAAGCGCCATGAAACCAGTTGGAGCACAGGTCGCACCCGATGTAAAACCTGAGAGGAAAAGCTCATTTTAACGACATTGACTGGGCTGAGTGTGCATTGTGTGAACATGAGGGTGGCGTGCTGAGAGCTCACTTGGACTCGTCGTAGGGCGTTTTGCAGATACAGTACAGCTTGGTGTCTTTCTTGTGATCCTTTGAGGTAGAAGAGAGCTTCTTCTTCTTCTTGTGTTTCGATGAGCTGGAATCTCTTTCCTTATCTCTGTCTTTGTCCCGATGTCTGTCCCGCTCTCGATCGCGGTCTCTGTCTTTATCTCGGTCTCTGTGTCGCTCTCTGTCCATGTCCTTGTCCCTGTCCCGTTTCTTGTCCTTGTCGTGATGCCTGTCCCTGTTTCTGTCTTTGTCTCTCTCCTCGTCCCTCTTGCGTTTATGGGATGAGGAAGGTGAGGTCACTCTGTGGGGACTGTGAGAGGAATGTGTGGAGTGAGTGGACTGGGACGACTGGGAGGACTGGGAGGCGGCTGCTTTGACTGTTGCAGCAGCAGCCTGGGCAATAGCAGCTCGAGCTTTCTCCTTCTCCTTCTGCAGCCTGGCTATGTCCCGCCTCAGCTCCTCCTGGGACAGAAACAACACAGTGAGCTGCTGAACGGGTTTTGAACTCCACTGATACCCACACTCTACAGATACCATCTTGTAAAGGCCAAACGTGCGCTGACCTGTACTTGCAGCTGCAGCTCCTTGTCCAGCAGGGCCCTCTTCTTCAGGATCTCAGCCTTCAGCTGCTCTTTGTGTTTGTACAGCAGTGCTGTCAGCTTGGTGGCATTCTGCTTGGAGCGTTTCTGCTCCACCACCTCCTCCTTCTTTCTCTTCTTAGCTGCCTGCTTCTCATCCTTCTCAATCTTGTCGAGGATGAACTTCATCACCTGGTTGCACACAATCATTCTCTGGTTCTCCTCTCGCTCTGCTGCAGCATTCTGCTTCACTGCCCCCTGTTTCTGGACTTTCATATAATGATACATGGATGTTTCTCTAGCCCTGGTACTACAAGAGCTGAGGCCAGTGCAGACAGCCCACAGGAAACATTACTGCCACAGACACAAACCTTTGGTTCTCCTCTCGCTCTGCTGCAGCCAGGCTCTTCCTCTGTTTCAGCTGCTCTGCTGCAGCGTTCTGCTTCACTGCCACCTGACAACAAAAACACTTTGCATTAATATTGGCAGTATCTTGATGCAGTAACAAATGAAAATGTTCTGAAGCACACCTGTTTCTGGATGCCATCCGCAGGGCTGACAGCCTGCAGGTTCTGCTCTTTCTGTTCCCGTTTAGCCTCGTGGTGTTTCTTCTTCTTTGGTGGTGGTTGCTGCTGCTGCTGCTGTATTCTCTGAAGCTGCTCTTGAACACTTGCTGGCGCTTGTATGGTCACCATGTTCTGGATCTGGTGGGCATGAATTTGTTCCCCCGTCTGCTGGATCTGAATCGGCAGCTGCAGTTTGATCTGCTGGGGAACGGTGCCACCCTGCTGTTGTGCCTGTGCCTGGATCTGGGCTTGGATCTGAGCTGCGACATGGGGCGGGAGAGCTGAGAATAGCTGGACTGGCTGCTGGAGGCCAGGAACAGTGATTAGCTGATGCCTGATTGGAGATTGGGCCTGAAGCTGAGGCTGTGTTTGGACTTGAGTTAGGCTGGAACTGGACTTGGACTTTAGCTTGGACTTGGGGTTGAGCTTGGACCTGAAGCTGTTGCTGGACCTGCTGTGGTGACTGAACTTGAAACTGGGACTGGGTTTGGACTTGAGTTTGGACCTGTGGTTGCTGAGGAGCCTGAGCTTGAATCCGACTCTGCTGCTGTAACTGGACCTGAACTGGTGGATGGAGCTGGGTTTGGACCTGGGTCTGGGCTTGAGACTGAACCTGGGGCTGAGGTTGAACCTGAGGCTGTTGCTGAGCCTGGGGTGGGGTCTGTGCCTGTCTTTGAAATGAAGCTTGTATATGGGGGTGGTACTGAGGTTGGACCCTTGACTGGAGCTGGCCCTGAGCAGGGGCCTGGGCCTGGACCTGTGGCAGGGTTTGGTTTGGAGACTGAAACTGCACCTGAGGCTGGATTTGAGTGAGAGGCTGTAGTTGCATTTGGGGTGCCTGCTGTAATTGTGGCCGAATCTGTGCCCGTGGCTGAAACTGGACTCGGACATGGGGGTGGCTCTGGGCTTGTGCTTGGGACTGGAGATGAGCTTGAGGCCGAATCTGTTGGACTTTGCTGAAGGGCTGGACCTGGATCTGTGCAGGAATTTGGGCTTGTAGCTGAGTACCTGTTTGGGGCTGGAGCTGAGGCTGGGGAGATCTCACAGCAGTAACAACAGAAGAGACCGGTAGTCCCTTCACATGAACTTGTACTGCTGATCCTGGCATCTGAGAAACCTGCTGCATGGATAGAACAGCCGGGTGGTGGACTTGTGCTTGGGACTGAGGAGTAACAGAGGACTGAGGCGTCGAGGTAACGGGTGAATGTGTGGATGCTGAAGCAGGGGCAGAGGCGGGCATGGTGACCAGGGCTGGTGCCTGAAGGGGAGCTGCAGCCGGTTGAGGTGACTGAACTGAAGTCTGTGCTTGAGATGCGGCTGGAGTCCAGACGTGGGGCTGAGCTGCCCTCTGCTCTATCAGAGCTACAACGGGAGGAGAAGTGAAGACATGCCATATATTACATTTTATTGAACCATTTATGTATATGTACAGACCAACTACTAAAACAAGACAGGAGAGCCGAGTCCTTTACCTGGCACTGAAGGTGTGGTTGAGGTGGCTGTGACTGGTGTGACAACAGCATTGGTCACAGTAGCGTGAAAGGGAACTGGAGCTGTGGTTTGGATTTGGGTTAGAGCTTTGGCTGGAGGTGGGACAGCAATGTGGGTGGACACAACAGCAATGACAGGAGCAAGAGCAGGGGTTGGAACTGGGACAGCAGAGGGAAGAGAGGCAGAAGCCTGCATTTGGGCCGAACTGGCAGCAGTGACGTGGACAGGGGTTCTGACTGAGACGGGGGCTTGAGCAGTGCTATGCATCTGGTCAGGGAATGAGGTTAAGCCTGGGGCAGTGCTGAAGGCATATGTCTGGACCTGGGACTGGGGGGGAGCTTGCCCTGGGGCAGGCAGCGACACAGCACTTTGGGTCTGTGTAGCAAATGAGCCCAGGGTGAGGGTGGAGATGTGGGTTTGGACCATGGCTGGGATGTCAGCTTGGTTTGGTGCAGGGGCGGAGGCTGAGGTGAAGACTTTCTGAGGCACAGATGGGCCTGTACTTTGTGCTGGGGCAGTCACAGATCTTACCACTTGGGGCTGTGTGGGGAGAGGCGCTGGTGTAGAGGATAAAGCCTGTGTGGTGGCCAAGGCTGCAACCTGTGGCAGGGCAGGTGCAGGAACAGGTATCTGTGATTGTGCTGGGATGTATGATGGGGTAGCAGCTGAAACTTGCGTCTGCACTGAGGCTGTGGCTTGTGCTGGAGCAGACACAGAGGCTACCTGGGTTTGAACAGGTACTGAGGTTGGTCTGGGAGCCAAACCTGGCATTTGAGTTTGGGCAGGCACAGGGGCTGCCATCTGTGTTTTTGCTGAAGCTGAGGGAGTTGTCTGGACTGGCACAGGGGTTCTGGCTTGAGCTAGAGCAGACATTTGGGTTTCTGGACTCTGTGCTATGGAAGGCCTTGCAGGGGTAGTGGTAGTGGGTGCTGAAGTTGAAGCTGATGAGGATGGGGGCATGGGGGTGAAGAGGAAGCGCTGGACCTGGCCATTGGGCATGGCTGCCTGCATTAGTTGCTGACCAGGGCCAGGGATGACATTCACACCCTGTGGGATGATTTGCAGCTGGCCTTGGGTCTGGCCCTGGCCCTGGATCACCACAGTCAGACCCGGGTTTCCACCCTGCAGCATCACAGACACAGCATCTTACCTTCTGGTAACAATAAACTTTATTTATATAGCATACATGACAGGATTAAAACATTACACTCAAGAAAAGCTAAAAGATAAATATTTTTCTGTCCTCACTAAAGGAGAAAAACTTTGTGTATCAGTAGGAAGAAATGGACAAGTGGAAAGACTCTCTCACCTGAGCGCCCTGTGTTAGCTGTGCGAGCTGTGCCATCGTGAGCTTGACCTGACCCTGCTGTGGTCTGTTGGCCTGGGAGGAAGCGACAGGGGACTGTCCAGGAGCCGTGGTGGCCGCACGAGGTGATGGCGCTGGAGCTGCTGCTCTCTGCGCTGCAGCCGTCTGCACAGGTGTAGAACCGGGATCAGCTGTGGCTGCAGGCTGAACACGCCCCATTTGGGTCCCAGCCTGCTGAGCTTGGCCTGGAGGGAAGAAAGAATTTTTCATCTTTATTTGTAAGGCATGAGCCACAAAGGCTGCAGACATCCACCTGAGAACAGCCAGAAGAGACAGAACACCTTGCTGAGTCGGACCTCTGACCACTGCTGCGTCCACAGATGTAGTCAGGTTGGGCGACTGGCTCAGAGAAGTGCCAGGCTGTGTTTGGCCTCCTGCTGTAGTGGCCTGGAACACAGAACCAACAGGAAAATCATCACTGATAATACTTCATACTTCCACAAGCTTCAAGTAAGAACTGACATGGACACGGTGCGAGACAGACCTGCTGCTGAGTCACTGAGGCAGAGGCGGTGGCTCTGAGGTTGATGTTGCCGGTCGTAGGATGTAGTGTGCTGTATGTCCTCAGGTTCGCAGGAGGCCCAGATGGGAAAATGCCCTGGGCTTTCTGCTGACCTCCACCTGAGGATAAAGACAATTACATAAGGAGTCCATGCATGCACACTGTGCAAGGGAAAGATCTCTCAAAAAAAGGAAAAGTATCAAAAGGTCCTGAACTTAATAAGACAGCAGCTAAAGCTTTAAAAAAAAAAACACACACTGAAGTCAGTTCAGAAGCTCTTCAAGCTTAATATATAAAAAGAAAAACAAAATTCACCAGAGGCATCCTCCACACTCTGTCACACCATCATCAAGTAGATTTCTGCCTCTCACATGACACCTCCATCCACTGTAGCAGGTGGAAGCCCCAGGTGACATCCTTAAGTAGCGGGCACAATCAGCATAACAGTCTTGCCGTTAGCGGGCAGTTGGATTTTGGCGACGAGGACCTGGCCAGCCACAGTCACTGGGCTGCCAATGATCTAGACCAGGGGTGGCCACACTTTTTCGCCTTGTGAGCTACTTTTCAAATGACCAAAGCAAAATGATTGACCTACACTAAAAATACCACACACACACACACACACACACACTATATGTATGAATGAGTGTTCTAGTTTTTATGAACAGTCTAAAAGTCCCGCTCCACATTTCCCTTCTTCAGAATAGTGATGGTAGATCAAGCAAACACACTTCGAATATAACATCACAAAAAAAAAAGTCCTCCTCCCATTCTGCATGGAATGTTTTCGGTTTCTTACTTGATTCGGCCCCCCCACTCATTTTATACCCTTTAGTAGAAATTAATTGGAAGCAGCATTATAAAGTCTGATACATAAGTTTATGTGGATCCTCTTAGAATAAAAAAGGACTAATAAAACTGAATATCTAGTGTTAAAAGGCCTGAAAGTGATCATCACAAGCCACAGTCACTTTGGCAAACCAAACACATCCATCATCTGTAACGATTACGGCCATGGGGGCCTGGAGCCAATCCCAGCTGACACTGAGCGAGAGGCCAGAGAAGCCGGAGTAACCGGACAGAACCCACACAGGCACAGGGAGAACATGCAGACTCTGCACAGAAAGGGCCCGGGTCGGCCGGGGCTCAAACCCGGAACCTTCTTGCTGTGAACGCTCAATCCAAACACACCGACAGGTAAAGAAGTTGCAAAAAGTCAAGCAGATGATTGACTTTTTATAAACTTATGACAAACCCCTTAGTGTGTGTGCCTGTGTCCAGCAGAGTGTGACGGATGACAAGCCACACAGATTCTGTGGATTGGGCTGAAATAATGCACTCCTCGTCTTCCGGCTCTTTACCTGAGCTGTTGTTGGTCTGACCCTGCTTCACCCAGGAAGCAAAAGACTGATGGAAGTTCTTGTCGTGCTGGAAGGAAACTGGAGAGCCCAGTTTTGAGGCCAGTACCATCTTGGTTCCAGATGTGACCTGACCCGTCCTCTGGCCTGTGAAGGCTGGCGTGCTGGCTGAGGAGGAGGTGGTGGTGGTTGTTGTTGTGGAAGTGGTGGCAGTTGTACCCAGTCTTTGCTGCTCCAGACGTTTCTGAACCAAAAATGTAACAGAACTGTATTTACGTGGAGTTTGGGACTGTAGCTCCTCTGAACCTGAGCTAAAAGATGTGCTAACATGACAGGGAAACAGCTGCCAGTGTTCACACCTGCTGTGCAGCCAGTCTGGCCTGTTTCAGCTGATTTTCCAAGTGGGCTTTGACATCCTCTGCCGTCTTCAGACTACTGCCAGTCTTGGAGGGGTCTACACCCTGGGCCTTCTCCCTCTCTACCCTGTAACACAAAGGAAAAAGGTGACAATCTGGTGAACCAGTGCTCTATTAGAAGAATTCACTGTTCCCCAAAATAATAACCTTAGAGACGCCAGGTCAGACATGTTCCTCACCTTTCTGCAAACGCCCTGATCTCCCACAGCTCCAGCTCCTCTTCAGGCACCCAGGTCTCCACAGCGACAGGCCCAGTCAGCTTGGCTGGCTCCTGCTTCTTGGGCCTCAAGGCGCTCGAGCGCAGGCCTTTCCTCTGTGGAGTCGGGGTTTCTACTCATGGGACGGAAGAAACAAAACTAGTAATTATTCTTATAAAATGCTAAACTTTCCAGCACCGGCTCCTGGTCATTCTTCACATATACTAAAACATGCAAGATCTGAAAATCGAGGTCAGACCACTCTGCTCCTCCCACATACAGATGTATTAATGGACCTGGATCCTGGACTCAAAGATGGCCCCCACTCACTTGAATGAAAATTCAAGTGTTCCGTTTTCTGTGCGTCAGCCATAGCAAACCCCCCCCCGTAGCGTGACGCCTCAGAGTGAGAGGACTGGTAGATTAGCGAGTTCAGATAATGACTGAGAGCCATGAGCTCTCACCTCTGACCCCTTCTGTTTAGAAGGGTGAGGCTCACTCAGTATCTGTACTGTGCCGCCAGGATGTTCACCAAGTCTGGGTGACGAGGCTTTGACAGCACCTCTCCACGTTTCAGAGCATATGGTTAAGTGTTTGTTAGAATCCTACACCGTTTCTGAGCAAACTTTTATGGCTTACCTTTGGGAGTGTCTCTGTTCCCGACGGGGCAGATGATCTTCCGGATGCAGTATTCTGAGCGGATGCCATATGGTCCCACGTCTCTCCGTTTTATAATCTCAGTTGTGGTGATGTCAGTGTCCGTGGTTTCTTTAGTGAAAATCAAATATATTAGCACAGCTATTTAAAAGGCAATACTTCAAAGTCTTATTAATACAAGCAAGAGATGTCTGAACTGAAATGTAAGCAGGCATCCTCGAAGACATGCAAAGAAAATGCTCACAGAACGCGAAGGATTCGTACAGGAGGATGTGAGGGCGTTTTCTCACCTTTCCGAGTTGTCCCTACAGCAGCGCAGGGCTTGACGGCCATGTCGTCCCACCTCAGGCAGGCCCACAGCAGCCGCAGCATCAGGCTGACCCCAGCCAGCGAGCGCACAGTCTGGAGACGGTACCTGACAGTCATGACAACATGAGCCGCTCACTCCACTGTTTGCATGCACACTTTCATTTGGTGCATTTGTATTTTTACATACTGATAACACAATGCTGTGCTCATGAATCATAAAAGTTGTCAGTTTATTAGGTACACCTAGCTTAAACTATGTTGGTCTAGTCCAACAGTAAATCCTCCTTCATGAAGAAGATAATGTTCAGTTTGTGTTCAATCTAACGGGATGTTATTGCCAGTAAACATAATGTGGTCAGGCAACAAAGACAATCAGCAATAGCATTCATTAGTATCCTCACTACACATGGCATAATCTATAATGTAAAGTAATTAACAGGTATCTACGCTGTTCACCTGGCTACTGTAGATGTACAAAACAAGTGAGAGGTTCTGAATGTGATTTTGATGCATTCCAATGTGTAAAAGGGTCTAAATGTGCCCTAACCTCCATGTGATTCCAAATGTGGGCCGAGGTGAAGGGTAGGGCCAAATGTCCTGGGCTGGCTTGGCGTTGTAGTTGAAGATGGGCACCTCTCTGAAGCCTGCTCTCCTCGCCAGCCTCTTCAGGTCATCGTTTGGCAGGACAAAGATGCTCTTCTTGCTGCTCTTGGTAACAAATTTGCGATAGGATGGCAGGGCTGTGCCAGAGCGTGCCTTCTTGGTTTTGGAGAACCTGAGGAGGCTGACTTGATCCCTGGTGGAATACTCTTTACTGATCGCCATGGAGCTTGTTGCTGTTGCATCAGAGGAGGCTGGCTTGGTGTCAGTGACTGGAGGTTTGGTCTTTTGGGACACAAGTGCCCCAGGTGCAGAGCAGCTGGGCTGTGTGGTAGAAGTGGTAACAGAGGAGACACCGCTACTCGATGCTTGAGGCGTCACCTCAGGCTTACCAACTCTGTTGGGAGTGTCACTTTGAGACTCTGTGGTGGTGATGGAAGTCTTCATACCTTCACTACTACCACCATCTGTGCTGTTACTCTTCAGGCAAGAAGGGCTTGAGGATGGGAGTTTAACAGGCACCGCCCCCTCACAGTCTCCTTTCTCTGCCATGTGGTTCTCTAGTTTTGGGACTTTCAGGGGAGGTGGATGACACATGTTGGACTCATCGTTTTGCGAGAGGTTTCCGTTCATCAGAGACTTGATGGGCTCTTTCTGAGGCTCTCTGTTATCACCTTGGGCTCGACTGGCTGGGTCTGAATTGACGTTTGAAACTGCAGGAGTGGCGACCACAGTTTTGCCATTCACCTGCACTGTATGGGTCTTGCTTTGGTCTACTTCCATGCCGTCTGTGTCACTCTGTTCGCTGCCTCGCTCAATCTCCTCGTAGCCACGTTTCTTGGCATTCTCTCCCACTCGAGCTACTTCTGGCTTCTGCGTTTTGTCTTTACATACTATTGCCTCAGAAATATAATTGTTTGAACGGCTGAGCTCAGTGCCTGCCAAGGGTTCTCCATTCACTTCTTTATGAGCTATGGCCTCCTCACTATTCCCCTGCACAGCCTTCACATCTGCCTGTTTGCTTTGGTTGGTTGCTGTGGGGTCTGATTTCACATCTAGATTGTCCGTTTCTGCCTCTTTATGCTCCTCCTCAAACTCAAGCTTTTTCACCACATGGTCTTTCACTTGTAGGCTCTCCTCATTTTCTTCCACTTTAACAGCCGGGGTCACAGCAAGCTGGTGTTTGCCTGATAAGGATCCTTCAGTCTTAATGCCCGCATTAGGCTTCGTGGCAGCCACTTTGGACAGCAGGGATGCCTGTCTCATCCGTTCAAGCCTCTGCTTCTCCTCTAAGGTGAACTGTTTCACCCGGCGCTCCAAGAGCCCATCCAGCTTGCAGGGTTTTACCTTCTTCTTATAAGCTGTCCGCAGCTGGAAACCCTCGCTGACATTCACAACATCATAGTAGGGCTTTGGTGTAGCAGCCTCCTCCTTCCCAGATTGTTCATCTATCTTGACTGGTTCCTCCTTCACAGGCTGCACAGCAGGTGAGGAAGAGCCTTTGTTTTCAACTTTATCTGCAACGAGAGCCACATAGATCAGTGGATCATGGAAATATATATCTGTCCTCAAGCTAGACAATTCACTTCCTAATATGTACCTTTCTCATCACTTGAAGCAGCATCCTCTGTTTTTTCATCTTCTCTTTTATCTCCCACATCATTTTTTCCTTGCTCCTCCTTAGTGAGGTTTTCTTCTTCTTTTGAGCCCCGTCCCTCTTCTGATGAAATGTTCTGAACTGATGCAGTGATGGATGCTGGACGCTTGTCCTCAATTACTATATCCTGCTTTTCTGTTTCCACCAACTTTTTCTGTTTATTTGTACAAGAAGCTTTTTCCTTGCTCAATTTAGCTGATATGAAGACAGTAAAAGACGCCAAAACAAAACAAAACAAAAAAACATTAGTATATGAGTCAGCAGCAAATGAGCATGCTGAGGAAAATAAAAGTGGTACCACTGGGAAATTATGCCAGCCCTTACCTTCCACTTCTTTCCGGTAGTTTACGTTTGTGTTCCCTGGGAGCTTTGGAATAAAACGTGGCACACGGGTCTTACTGACCCAGCTCCAGCCACCATAACCAGTCACTCTGTACTCCTCCCCTTTCTGCTTCCACACCTTCATGGAAAAACACACAGATGAGGCACAAAATAATGAAGCTTTCAGATAAAAAAAGAAACTACAGCATCTTCACTTGTACATTATAAACTGCAATTTTAATTATCTTATTAAGCGATTCCAAATCAGGGGGACTGAACGCGATACATCTGCAGTTGCCACAGAGGGTAGGAAACTATGGTAAAAATAGAAATTATAATTTGAAAACTACAGGTTGCAACAAAGTATGTGAGAAAGGTAGCTTCCATATACAGTTAGCTAAAAGCACAAATGAACACATTAGGAGGACAGAATGTTACGTCTGGAAAACAAAGGTTGGCAGCCGCTGGTCTACATGTGTGGTGTGAAGCCTCCTCTATGGGTGGAAGACAGACACTGCTGTTTTACCTGGTGTTTGATGGGGATGGTGTACTTCACCCACGTGGCCTGCTGCAGTGTCTCCTCATCCTCCAGTTTTTTCTCTCGCTTTTTCACCTTCTCCTTCTCCTCTCGTTCCATCGACGTCATGCGATGCAGCCTGAAGCAAGAAATTACAGTTTCTTACTAAGGCTCCGCTCACATCACAGCTGAGGTTTCAAACCTGGTGTGTCCACAGCAGTGTGAACAGACCAGATGTCCTCAGACCAGATCTGGGCCACCTGCCTATGTGCTCCTAGACCTGATTCCTCTCCGACCTCTGACTGCGTGAGCACCATCAGAACGGTCAGATCAGAATCCATGTGGTCGTTTTAACGTCTGCACATATGACCTGTCGTCATCATTTGGCGTCGGCCCCTCACAGACCGGTAACAATAAACATGGAAGAGAGCGACGACAGCGACGGGGTCAGTGGAGAAACCAGGACATTTCACATGTGGTGGACGTTTATGGAGAAGCTTCTGATCAGGACAAACTGGGAGGAGCATATCGTAACCCAGTGGTTTGGGAGGAAACTGGGTCATTTGACTGTGGCATACACCACCTGGTTGTTATTCTTGTGTGCACGTGGCTCACATTTCATCTGTGCACGTGTGGCAGTTTAGGAGCTTGGAGCCGGGTACATGGCTCCAAACCAGGTACATGGCCCTGACACCCACGGACGGGAAGCAGTGACACACAAACATCAGAGTTAAGGCCCGAAATGGAGCCTATGATGTAACATTCATGAACAGTAGTAAAATGGGAACATTAGGCTTCAGTCAGCGTATCACTGGACCTGCAGCTGGTTTGGTCAACACTGACGTACCCCACATCGCTGAAGAAATCACTGGTGTAACCGAGTCATGTTTAGAGTTGGGGAAAGTACACTACACGTTAATGTGCTCTGCTGTGAGCGTAGCCAACACTCATATAGTTCATGCAGCTCATCTGGTTCTTCCTTTACCTTGTGTGTCCGAGGGAATCTTTCCATACTGGCAGCATGACCACTGGTTTGATGGCACACTCCAGAATGGCCAAGGCCAAAGCAAATTCTCTGGCCTTGCTGCACATCTGCACTGCTTTGTTCCAGTTGGTCCTAGGAAACCCAGAGACAAAATGATACACAACACAGCACAACTGAGTCTTCTTTATATTTGAATTTACATGAAATAAAACCAGATCTTCACAATATGCAATAATCTAAATGACTTGCTTTTATATTTAATATATTATTTTTTATATTTAATAATAGTTCAGTATTTTAGGAAACAAGCTTTTCCCCTTTCCCGTTGAAAGGCAGGTGGAGCTAGTAGCTAGCTAGCGTTGCACTAAGACTGGAAACGGGGACATCAGCTAGACTGGCTCTGCCGAGAGGTAATGAGGTCCACCTGTCGGCACCTCTAACGGTCTTTAATAACAAGGCAATACCTCGTTTGGTTACTCTGTAAAAACTGCATTAATATGTCCCTGCCTTATGCGACGGGTTCACATCACACTGACCTGTGAGATGCCCAGTTAGGGTGCATAAATGGTCCAGGTACATTGGTTTCCAGCTGAATGATGGTGAGGCGCAGGGTGGAGACGGTTAGGCTCCGTGAGCCGTAGATAGAGCCGTTCCATTTGAACTCTGATGCCGTGGTCAGGCTGAACTTGTGGGACAAATGGCGTCTCTTGTCGTGGTCCTCCCGGTGCTGATGTTTGTTGAGGGCCAGGACGTTGGTGCTGTACTGGTTGTGGTAGACCCTGTATTTACCCTCTTGACCCAGTTTAAACAGGCTGTTCAGATTCACTGTCAGGTCCCTCTTCAGGAAACTGAGGCGTGAGGATTCACCATCGGTGCGTGCAGGAGACGACTGAAACATGAGAGCGGATATCACCTTAAACTAAACTGCTACACAGAAAAATAAAAGCTGCTTTGTAAAAGATGCACTGCTCAAGCCAATTCAATACCTGCATCTTGGACAAACACCTTTTTCAATGTCACAAACATGGTGCTACTCTGTGCAGTGATCACGCTAAGCTAAGCACTTCAGCTAGGTGCTCTGAACACAGGTCAGTAAACAGAATTTTTAGCCATCAGTTCCCACTTTTCATTCATTTTAAACAGAGTAACTGCACTGTCAAACATTTTGGTGCTAGACTGCAGAACCATACTCGCCTCTTTGCTGCCTCTGGGTGTCTGGTTATTCGATTCCCGCCCCGTTGCTCTCACTCGGTCTGTCTTGAGCCTTTCATTATACTCGTCTGTCATTCAAAAAGCAAACGACTCCATCAGTGCACTAATACACTCAGCACTGATTCACACAATTTAACAAGACTAAACTGATTCATGAGTCAGTGTAAATTCACTTTTCAAACCTTTTGCTCATGTTTACCTGTCCCATCCTGACTGGTGAAAGAGGACTGAGAGGACCGGTCAGCCAGGTCAGGCGGCTCTGCTTTCTCGAGGCTCCCAGAACCAGAAACCTGGCTGCTGCCACTACTGGCCTGTGGTGGAGATGACTTCTGCGGTGGCTGATCTTGGGTTTGTGCCTGCGAGTCACTGGAGTGTATGGCTTCACTGCTAGCCTCTGCTTTCCCATCCTCATCTAAAAAGCACATGAAGAGAAAGACTGAGTAGAGAGATAAAAGCAAGTATCAGGGTGGAACCAACATGCTGTGAGCAAAAATAGCAGACGTATAAATAACAAAACAAAAGAAACACTGCACAAGAAGTTGACAAAATCCAAACTGTGCAATTAGGAAATTTGCAGTACAGATTTAATTTGTCATTGCGCCTTGAATCTTGGCATATGACCAAAAAACTTTTCAAGACAAACATGGACCGTTAAGTGTCTGCTAGGCCCAGAAGACCAAACGCTACACAATTCCAAAACAAGCTGTAACTTGCCTCAGAGCCAAACTAACACACCGGCTCTGCCTTTTGAGGCCTACATATATATATATATTCGGCTCTTTGTTGTCAAGGTAGCAGGTGGGGCTTCCAGGCAGAGAGCCTTTTGTCTGAGCAACAGAAACCCACCCAAAGGCCCATTAACTGAACTGAGGACAAGAAGCTGGCTGTGACAGATGGGGCGTGGACCTGCTGCCAGGGAAGCAGTCTGTCACAGAAACACCAAGAGCGCAGGAGACCATGCAAAACACTGGACAAGGAGTGAAAGGAAGGATGCAGCAAAAATAAATGGGATGTTTTACTACTGAACCAAAGCAGGTGCTGAAGGCAGCAGCTGAGAGCAGGTCCAAGTCTCTGTGGGTCAATTATAAAAGATGTTTACTGAGGGTAAAGGAATGGGACCAGATGAAAGCATGAGGGCTGAGAGGGATTTAATGGTTTGAGCTGTGAAACTTTACACTGCTGGTCACGTGTTTGGGGTCACCTCCATGTTTCCAGTAGTTACCAGTTTAGTCCAACAGGTGAATACACCTGTGCTGTTCTCTCTCCAAATGGCATCAAAAAGTGTTGGGACAGACAGCACTGTTACAGATGTTCCCACAGATGTTCCACCTGTAGGCTGCTCTGCTCTCAGTCTGGACCCTGTGCTGCAGGTCCATCACTGTTCTTTCCTCGTCCACGGCCCAGAGCTGTTTGTGGCTCATTCTCCTGCTACTGGGTGAAACCGTGAGAAGCTGACTCCCTGTGTTCATGGCCTTTTTCCACATGATGCTTCGGAGGGGGCAGTAACACAGTCTGTCTGTATAAAGGCAGTGTTGAAACAATCTGTTGTCATCAGTCACCAACAACAGTCAGTTTTCAAGGCTTCATTTACCTCTAGATCCATGAAAAATGTCTGTTTTACATGACATCTACACACAGTTTTAGTTTCAGGCTTGCTTTTTTAAACCTCTGGCAGTTCTTAGCTTTGTGCCATTAAAGGTTATTCTCTGGACTGAGCTGCTTAAATGCCAATAAAAACTGGAACAAGAGGGCTGTTCTAAGGCAGTTCACCAGTAGTGCACCAGTAAGAAGCACAAAGAGTGCACGTGATCCATTGAGGCTGAACAAACACCATCTATCAGCTAGGGAATATGGCCTGTGAAATCACATAAACAGAAGTGGAAAACACAAATGTTCCATTAACTCAACACAATAAACACAAAACGGCTGCGCAAACTGCGATGGTGTTTGTGACTGGCATAACGACATATGATGCTCAAACCCTGAGAGAACAAGCACACTGATCTGTCAGACAGAACTTTGGAAAAACATCTAAACCTTGCAGACATGGCACAGGTGTGAAGAGGGACACACGAGCCAAGAAGAGGGAAAACAATTAACAATATCAATTTAAAACACCTACAATCATCCTCATACTACGGAAGGTTGGGCAAATTTATTCCAGCTTCCTCTGCGTCTTGGTGTTCAGGTGCACTTGTGCATCCAGAAACAAAACTTAGAACACCTGCTAAACTCCAATTAGCAAAACAAATCTGTCCTTCACATAAAAACCAGAGTTAGGTTTCCTTCTGTGAAAACAAAGGGAAACCTGGCTGGGACATTTTATCATTAAAAAGATTAAAACGTGTAAAGACTGACAACAGATCAGTGCGGGCGCCTCACACCCAACAAAGCACAGGAGGCGGCAGACGAGGGCGGGGTTTGGTTAGCAGCAGCCAGTGATGACAAGCAGACAGATGTGCAGCTGCAGGAGGGGATGAGGTGGAAGGGGACAGTCAGTCTCTGACACCGAGTACCTGTCCTTTCCTGATTTGCCAGTGGGGGGGCCTCCCCGCTCTCCTGGCTCCCGCAGAGACCAGGCTGTGTTTCCGTCTTTGATTCAAGGGATTCTGTTTTAGGTTCAGCTGAGTCCCGAGAGGCCGAGCCAGGGTTACGATCTGACAGGCAGCGCTCCTCTGCAGACGGGGGAGCCACAGCTACTGTGGTGTGACACACATACACAGGGTGAACAGCACCAGCCGAGTCAGAATCTCTTTCATCACCATTAGGGATGGGGTTCGGGAGGATTTTACCAAAATCAAATCCAGTTCTGACTCTGCATATTGAACCCAAATCCTTCTGAATCCGTTATCAGCTTAAGTATTTTGCTAGAAAAGTGAACTGTAATGTTACTCAGAACAGAAACAAAACTAATTTAAATAGTTTTCAAAAACAAAAGCCGTAGCTTCTCAACTGATCATGTTAAAGCCGTTTTCAGGTAGGATGCAGTGGGCGCTGCAACATTAGACGGCATTAGTCACCTAGCAACCTGCACCCAATGTGCACAATTTGGGGCCTCCACCCCTGTGCTGCGCCCAACCCCGGTGCATACATACTGTACATCCTATCTGACAGCCCTTTAACAGAGATACAAGGAGCAGTGAGCAGCCGCCTGACATTGAAGCATCAAACTAACCCACCAACGCTGTGCCGATTTATTAACCCTGTCCTCTCCCACTCTGCTCCTCACTGGGGGGCTGTGCTGCAGTTACATACGTCACAATAAGATTCATTCTCCTTTATCATTTGGTCAGTATCAGTTCAAAAAGTCTCCTGCTGCACTGAGCATCAGCTGCCGGTGAACTGGTTGTTGTGCTGCTACAGGTCCCAGAGTCTGATGCTCACAGAACACGGTGTAACAATGGCGGCAGGCTGAGGACAAGCACTCATCCTCCTCATGTTAACGACACAGGGCTGACTAACATGTTGAACACTAGAGAAACCAGTTAAACACAGGATTTGTTCCTCATCCTGCAATATCGGCCACTTTCGTTTATAATGTGTTATCACACATTTGTTACATCATCAGTGTCTTTGTATTAGGTTAGCGCCACAGGGCGGTTAGCTAAACACAGGATGTGAATGACCACTTTCATAACAGATTCGTTTACTGCTGAGCTTAATGACTCCAGATATCTTACCAACTTGGAACGGGATCTACAATGGAACCAGATATCAGAAGCCCTCCCCAAGAGAGGGTTAGACCTTTACCTTGTGATCCAGTGTCTTCTTTAGGCTCTGCGTCTTTCTGCTCTCTGCTGTCGTGTTGGGACGCAACCTCAGTAGTGTCCTCTGCTGTCTTACCAGAGCCCTTCTCTGTTTCCTGCTTCGCATCTTCTGCCCACCTCATCGATTCCTGTGCTTCCCGTCGGACCTTCATCTGCTCCAGGATCAGCTCTACAAACGAAAGGAAACATTCATTTTTAAAAATAAAAGCAGCAACCTAACCAGGCAACTGGAGCACAACAAATCTCTATATACTTCTTTTATGTTCCATAAGACTTTTGACTGATTCATCTGATAAGTTAAACACAAATAAATAAGAGAGTAATACTATCTATGATCATCTAAAAACACTTAAGTGAATCTATAACTGTTAACCCAGCAAACTAAAGGTCTGAGACATGGCAGGGTTTCTGTCCTCAGGGGGACAAAGCCTCCTGAGAACCACAAGTTTTCACTGGGACCAAAGCACCTGTGTCCCCCCCACCTGCAGACTGCAGTGATCTGCAGGAGCAGTGGGCAGTATTGCACATAAATCGCTTCACAGTGCCACCCTCTCCACATGTCAGGCCACTGAAAACCTACACAAACCTCTAGTTCCTGACAGAATGCCAGAGGAAATATCTCCATAAAACACAGAAACCCACTGTCTTTCTGAGAACTGGAATCAGGCGGTTTGGCAACAGACAGGAAAACGGTTACAAAAACAGATATGGCAGTCTGTCAAACCAGAACAAACTGCTGGCATAGCCACCAAAAGTCCCGTAACCACTTTGGCTCCTTGGAGGAAGGTAGCGCAGGAAGCAGTTACTTTTTGTCTGACAGAAAATGAATGAGGAAGCACCCAACATTAGACTGTTTCTGCATGTAACGTCGCAGGACACAGCACAAGTCACCTTTAAAGGATGCAGCCGGTGATATTTATGTTGTTGCTATTTCCCACAGGCCCCATCTAGAGACTAACACCACCAGTGTATGTGGTATATCCAGACCCTGGTTCAGCTCATCGCTCTGTGCCGTGGACCTCCACTGTTGTCCACCAGATAATAACCCCCCCCCCCACGTGCCCCCCCCCGGGGGACAGGTTCCCTCCTCAGTAAACACAGGAGGCCGTTTGTTTCCAACACACAGGCTGAGAACAGCCGTCGCTTTGCACAGTGTCTGAAGATGGTGTCAGTGATCTCTGCTCTGTTGACACTGCTCCACTAGCTGCTCACACTGCATAGACATGTTGGAGCTGTTTAATGAAAACAGACAGGCCTCACAATTTTCCTGAGAAAGAAGCCTGTCTCCCAGTGCAGCAGTGTGGCTCACTGGGGTGAGTTTAATAGTTACAGTGAGTGCACCACATTCATTGTTGCTGTTAGTCTCTGGATGGGATTTGTACAAAATCACCAGTTTCATCCTTCACATACTGCTCACATGAACCTGAGTACATCCTACTCAACAAGTACCACATATTACCCGACTTCAAGAGTCAGTGTCACTATTCTGAGCTTCAAAGACGACATAAAGTCTGTACCGTTGGCAGCAGTGAGGTAGGCTTTACTGTTTCCACGGACTTTGTTGGTGAGGTCCTCTGTGACGTCCATGTGGGCATGCACTTCCTCTTTCATCTCCTCCAGAGTGGCGTGGAGGTCCATCTCCCAGTACACCTTATCCAGGCACTCCATGACCTCCTCCAGCTGAGCCTTGGTGCTGTAGTACCAGATCTTCTTTGTCTCGTGGTCCCCGTCCTCCTCGCTGGGGAGTGACAGTAGGACAGGTTCAAAGTTAGATGGTTAAATATCAGAACAAACCACATCACTTCTACTACCGCTTCACCTAGTTCACTGAGACAATACAGACATGTTCACTGAATGAAACAGGGCGTTACATGACAGCTATTTACCCATTTATTAGTTTTATTACCTAGCAAAATACAAATTTTGTGAATTTTCACTTCTGTTGAAGCAGTGTTGCCATCTAGTCTTTGGCTTGTGTTAAATAAACTCTGCACTATGTTCAAATGAATGCACAAACTGAAAAAAATCTATTTCTATAGAAGAATTCAACTGCAGCAGCAGTTACAGAAGGTTTAACTGTGATGCTTCAGGTAAGATTCAGGTCCCCTTTGTCGCCCAAATCAAAGACACTGAAATGCTCTGTTTAGTGTGTAGAGGCCAGGCTTGAAGAGAACATAGGATGGTGGTTAGGAAGCATTCAGGAAGTGAGTTGCTGGCAATAAAGATGAAGAGCTTGGACTGCATGTCTCTTCGATAATCTCTAATCAAACAGAAGGAATTCATGGAAATATGTTGCCTTCCCCAGCCAAATGTGTTTTCCAGTAACTTTCAGTTCACATTTATCATACATGTGTTGGTCTTCTACAGTAAAAAGGACATTCATCGACACTGCCTACCCCCTAAATCTAACCTACACCTGACAAAACGTCCTCACTCCTACATTATAGAAGTCACAGAGACCCACAGGAGTACCTAATGGTACAGAAGGAAACTACACACAACTGGCTGCAATGATGTTTTAGTTTTTCTTTTCCCACTTGCCCAAACTTGATGTGGTTTCATAACAACACCAACATTTAACCATGTGGGTTACAGCAACTAAGAAACCTCTACTTTCCACAGTTTCAGTACTATGTTGAAAGCTTTAGCTCATCACCTGAGATCATTAAATATATAACTGATCACCTTCACAGCTATCTGTGTACAAGTAGAAGTATCTGAATTTGTTATGAACTACCTGCAGGGCTGGGCAACACATCAGACATCGATCTCACTGAATTAACATCACCATCTGGATTTCAGGAAATACTGCAAAATGACAAACGTATGCTAAAACAATACATGTGATGTTCGATGCATTGACGTGTGCTCCAATGCAAAACAAACACCTGAATGATTATTTGTGTTAGTTTTAGATTATAATTAGTTGGGAAACAGGATTTTGTAAAATAGCCATGTGAGCCCACAGAAAGTTGACATGTAATGACACAAAGTTACTGCCCAGCCCTCAGAGTTGATGCTTTTTTCTCTGTGTTGTTTTCTCTTTTGTTTTGAATGCATTTGCTGACGGTCTGTATCGACTGATGTACGATATGTGGTTTGCAAGTCTTAGTTGCTATTTTGACAAAGTCACACTTGAGAAAACTGCTCCGGATCTCAGTGTGTTTTCACCGGGTTACATGATAAAACATTTCCTGCATGTTTCCATTTGTGGTGCAAATTTAATGCACATTACTGCAAGCTGTTTAAGGAAACAAAGGGGTTGGCACGGAAATAACAATCATTCCAGTGCAGCAGGGGGCAGTGAGGGTCTGCACTTACACAATAATCCTTCTGTTCAGGAACCAGTATTTCCTCTGGTGGCGGTCATACCCAATGGGCTCCTGGCGGATGTAGGGCCTGTTCTTCTGCACCTCTGTCATACAGTCTGTGACACCAGGCACCTTGTGTGCCACACAAATCTCACACTGCCACTCGTCCTCTGGAACCTCCTCGAGCGGCGGCTTCACACACTCCAGGTGGTACACGGCTGAGCAGGTCTCGCAGCACAGTAGGTCACCCAGGCGGTGACACACGCGGCAGTGGTCGTCATACTGCATGCTGCCATCAGACAACAGCTCCTCACGAGCAATGTTGGTGGTGAGAAACTGGTCCACCAAGAACTGTAGCACCTTGATCTTACTCTCAAGAGGACCGTAGGGATACTCATCCACCTCCTGGTATGGCAGGACGTGATGGTACTCCCGGTCACTCTCACAGTACACACGCAAAACCTCAGGCCAGGTCATGCCGTCAATAAAGTACAGAGTGGAGTTGACACTGTCTTTGAGGTCAGCGGGACCAAAGGTAGTGTTGGAAGAGTCCTCCTCACGTAGGATGGCCTTCAGCAGGGAAATATGGGTCTCTGCTATTAAGGTACACTGCTCCTGACTGACCAGGGCTGCACAGAAGTCCTCAAAGCGGAAGGGGGAGAGACGCAGTACAGTGCTGAAGTTCCGCAGCACCTCGTAGATGGAGGTGGCATTGAGCAGCTCCCCATTAGGCACCAGGAGATCCTCAGAGGTGTCCGGAAGCTCAAGGGGAGGAATCTCCTTCTCCTCAAGAATGGGAGTGCGAGGTCGGGGAGCCCGTACTTTTTTCTTCCCTGTAGGATACACAGTGATATTTATAAATGTGTAATTAGTTCACTTTTATCCACTGGCTACCACAGAGCAAATAACAAACATTTAAAATGTATTTTGAAAGGACATCTGACATATGAACTTTATGAAATGACAGTCAAACTTTCCCTAATGTGGTACTGAGTCAAAATACTGTTGCAACATAAAATATAACCCAGCTTTCTCTTATTTAGCAACAACTACGCTTAGTTTACTAATATCTCCAACATCCAAATGCATATAAAGTTACATATTTCTACATGAAGTTGGAACAGGTGTCATTTCCAAACATAGTGGTGCAGTTATCTTGCAAAGCCATTCAAAAAAAGAGACCCAGACCCCCGTAACTGACAAGGATAAGTTGTGAAGTCTGGTTTCACATTGGTAACAAACTTCAGCAACACATGGCCGGTGTCATCATTAGCCTAATGAAGCTACCTCATGAAAACATTAGCAGTCCAGCCGGCTAATACCGTATAGATTAGTCAGAACAAACATAACTCGTCTTTACTGGTGTTGCACTATGAAATACATTATCTGTCATTTTTATGAGTTTTGGAGCGATGAATATAGGTGAACTGAGTTAGAAGCTTGCAAAGTGATAAAAATGACAGGCACGCTAGCCAAGCTAAGTTACTTAGCTAACTCTTATCTGTCTCTTAATAGATAACGTCAATAAATAAATAACACTTCTAATTAACCTAAAGAGGACTGAGTTTTGGGACAGCTATAAAAACATAATGTCACTATTATCATGCATCGTTTGTTTTTGTTTAGGATGACAGTAGCTATGGGCTAATTTTAGTTGCTAGCGTTAGCATGCTAGCAGCAAAGTTACTGGCAAACGCCAGTGAGTGATATTTCTAGCTAGCAGCATTCGTCGTTATTGTTGAGAAATGTGGGAATAATTTGACAGGTGTGATTTAAGAGGTTTTGACAGCCCGTGATGGCACTAATAAGCTCATGGCAGCTACCCGCCTCTAGTGCCTTTAGCATTAATGAGATGACTGCGGCCTGTGTTCATACACTGCATTCTCCATTTTGAACAATAACCTTTCTGCTTCCTGCACTGATCATAAAGCAGCAGCATTTCGGGGTGTGTTTTCCAACCCCTGCAGAGTATGTCGAGCCACTGAAGCCACCGCCTGATCATGGTGTTTATTTACCCGGAGTGCTGGCGTGTGTGCTCTGACTCCGAAAGCTGCTCTCCGTGCAGAAGCTGGCATCATCCTCCACCTCCTCCTCGTCCAGCACATCATCTTCCATGCAGTCAGAGTCCTCTTTGAGGGCCTCGTCCTCCTCGGACTGAGGGTCCTCCTCAACAAACTCGTCCTCTTCCGACCTCAAACTGACAGCATCGTCCTCCTCCTCGCTCTCGTGGTCGTCGTACACCACTGTTTTGGAGGCGGCCGCCCGCCTTCCTCCGCGACCCCCTCTGCCTCCCCTGCCACCTCTACCCCGTCCCCTGCCCCGCGTTGACGTGACGGAGCCCCCTTTCCTCTTTCTGGTCGCCTTGGTGGTGTCTCTTGTTGGGCTCTCCGCGTCCTCATCCCCGCTGTCCCGCAACCTGGGCTTCAGGTTCCTCCTAGGTCGCAAGCCCCGGGCCGCAGCTGGAGACGGCTCCTCGGCTGGTAGCAGTTTGGGCGGCCTGCCCCTTTTCCCTCTCATGATAAGCGAAACCTATTCTTTTATAATCCCAATGTTTGCGTTTATTTAGCCTACACGGACACCAGCGAAAGTGGCACAGCAACAAAGCTGAAGTGGCGGGGATTTAGACGGTGCACTAACCCCCTGGAGCCCCTGTTTCTTTTCGCGTGAGAAGCTCAAAATGTTAGCCCGGCGTCCCGTTTCGGTTCGCCTAGAGCCGCCATCTTTCTTCTTCTCTGCCTCTGTGGCGGAACAAACAGCAGGCCAGGGTGGTCACGTGGTGCCGCCGCTTCCAGCTCAGGACCAACCACGACCGAAATGAGAATTACTCGAAATTACTTTAATGTTTTAAGTCACATGCAGGTTGTTTTCTACTAACAGGTATTATGTGTGCAATGTCAGGTGTAATATGCGGGAAGCCTGGGTGTTGCAACACCGCAGCTTATGGCCGCTTCTTGGGGGCTGTATGTGGAAGAGTCATGAATAGGAGACAGAACATTAACATTCCTGGTAAAATATAGGTTAAATTCAAAATATAATAATAATAAAAACATCAAAGTACAAAAGTATTAGCATCAGAACATACTTATACCAAAAGTAATGTCCCAGTAACGTCTCTGATACTGGATCATAGTGACTAATTACTGTGTCCATCACTTTAATGCTGCAGCTGGTAAAGGTGGAGCTGATGGTAACTACCTTATATACTTATACTGTGAAGTACTTTCCATCCTGCTGGGTAGCTGGTGGATTTCCTACTGGGATCAATAGAGTCTGATGGTTCTACTGGGTTTGGTTTGATTCATCTGGTTCTGGACCTGAAGGTATCAGGTACATGTAGTGCACAGTAAAAAAAAAAAAAAACATGTAGTGCACAGTTTTAACATCAGCTAACTTTTAGTGATTACCAACTCCACAACCAGACTATTAGGCTATTTAGAGTCTCACTATTACACCAGTAATATCAGAGACAATGTGAAATGTGCCATTCTGCATAATGACAACTTTTACTTTTGTACCTTTGCTAACAGGTTGAATATCTTACCAGACTTTTATTTGTAGCCAAGGATATTTCCACTGTGCACAGTGGCACCATGATTAGCGCTGTGGCTTTACAGCAAGAGGGTTCCTGGTTCGAGCCCCAACCTCCCACAGTCTAAAGACATGCAGCTTAGGTTGACTGGTGACTAAATTGCCCGTAGGAGTGAGTGTGGTTGCTAGACTCTGATGTGGACTAAAATTAATTCAGGCAAATCATTTAATATAACAATTATTCTCAACAGGTCAATAAGTTATGAGACACTCCAGCATTTGTGACCCTTTTCAGTAGAGTCAGTTTATACTTTTCTATGTGTTTTCCTTCCTTTATAATGGCCTGCCCTATACAGACAATGGATGGATGGATATTGTTACTGTAGTGTGCTGAGGGTAGGGGGTAAATGTTATATACAGTGGGTACGGAAAGGATTCAGACCCCCTTAAAATTTTCACTCTTTGTTATATTGCAGCCATATGCTAAAATCATTTAAGTTCATTTTTTTCCTCAATGTACACACAGCACCCCATATTGACAGAAAAACACAGAATGTTTGACATTTTAGCTGATTTATTAAAAAAGAAAAACTGAAATATGACATGGTCATAAGTATTCAGACCCTTTGCTCAGTATTTAGTAGAAGCACCTTTTGAGCTAATACAGCCATGAGTCTTTCACAAAGAGTGAAAAATTTAAGGGGGTCTGAATACTTTCCGTACCCACTGTACATGTGTTGTTCATTGGACACAGAGCACCAAACCCAACACAAGGGATTATGCTGGGATTTTCCAGTTATCCTGGCTAAATTTAGTTCTGAGTCAGTTGCATGAAAGCAGGTTAAATTAAGATGAATAAAGTTACTATGGAGATTTATTCTGTCCAGCTCGCCTGCTCCAGACCAGGCTAACAGCCAGGCTTGATGAAACCCGGTGCCTTATTTGTTCCGTCAGCAGTCACTCTGATCAGAAACCGACGAATTCTGTTACAGTTAATCTGTAAAATGTGATGGTCATTGTTACTGATCATGAAGATTGCTGTTCATATTATTGTTAGAGGTTTGATGAATTATTGCAGCCATTGAGGTGAGAGACAGAGGATAATGCTGCAAAAGCAGCAGTTTATACTTTTGTATGCGTTTTTCTTTTTTTACAATGGCCTTCCCTATATAGCCTATATGGGACGTTCCACAAAACGGTGGAAGTGCAGACAGCAAAATCCTTAAAGTTGACATGATAATCACATTACTTATATTTGCTATTTGGAATACATAAACACTGTTTGAGATGATAAAACAAAGTTTAATCATCTAACATTCAATTTTATTATTAGCAAATAATTTAAAATGACAAGTTTTGATTTGATTTATTCTTTCAAGCATGTAAAAACAGTTGATATAACAACACCCATTTTTACACATAATCCATTATCAATTTGCTTATACCTAGTACATGCTTGAATGGAGTAGGAAGAAGTCAGACTTATCCAGTCCTACCCCATGACATCATCTTAC